AGGGCTGTGATGCCATTTGATGTCACCGTGACAGGGACAGCTCCCCCTGCACCCCTCTGCTCTCCTGCCTGGGTTAAAGCAGAAAATTACATTGCATTTTTACTCAGGTCTGATCTATGACCTGGCTTTTTCCCAGAATAGCCAAAATTCCACAGCCACAAAAGTGGAAGGAGACAGGGAAAGGAAATCTGGGGCTGTTAGTGGGAATTTCTTACAACAGAACACATTGGCTTGAGCTGTGAAGAACATGCTCCCTGTCTAGCAATTCCCATAGCCTTTATGGCACTCCAGCCAAGACACAGAGAAAAAGAGAATGGATATTCCAAATTAATAAGAATCCATCACTGTTCCTCCAACAAGTCAGCCTAAAAAGCAGATGTAGTAAAACTTTAATTTATAGTTGTGATTAAATAGCCTTTAATTGCCTATTTCACAATTTCCTTTCAAAATGTTCTTTGGGAAGCACAACCATTTGATTCCACTGAGACTTGTGTGCAAATGTTTAATTCTGGTGAAGAACCTGAACTTTCTGTGACCTCCAGAAAATGAAAATTATTTTTCCTTTCCTTGATTTGATTTGTCCAGCTTTGCTTTCTTCACTGTGAAGATCAAAAAAAGCTGTCCAGAGGAGTAAATGTAACATGTGGCCGGGAGCCTGGGGTGGTTGTGCAATGTTTGTCCCTCTCCGGAGGGGCTCAGAGTCCAGCCCAGCCCTGCTGGACCCGGGGAGCTCCTGGACCCGGCTCGGACAATCCAACACCGCCACCTGCGGGATGCTGCGCCGGGAGAGGCACAAATCCCCCGGTGCTCTGCATTCCCAGGGTTTTACACGGCTTTAATGCAGCCTTTCCAACGGGACGGCTTCCCCCTGGGGCAGCGGGGAGGAGGGTATCCCGCGTTCAGTAATTAGAAATAATTATAATAGTAATTATAATAAATAATGAAAAGGTATTTTCCAAATTCTGGGTTTTATCAACTCGAATTATCACTTGGTTCGTGTTGAATCTTCTCCTGTAGGCAGCAGTATTTAGGAATTTCTATAATATATGACTTCTATAATATATAAAATGAGAAGGTATTTCCAGATTGCTGGGGTTTAACAATTCAAATTATCATCTGGTTCTTGTTGAATCTTCTCCTGTAGGCAGCAGTATTTAGGAATTTCTAAAGAATCACTCAAGCGCAAAACCTCCCGAGTTTGTGGCTGGTTTTACTCAAGAGTGGTGTTCCATCCCCTGGCACAGTTCAAGCCTCCTTTTGGGCTCACATTTGGAATACCTTTAACATTTTAATGTTGTACGAAACCAGAATGGGGTGTGAAGCTGAGCAAGAGGAGCCTCATCCCAAAGTTCCGGGGAAAACCCAAATATTCCTGAGCTGTACAAACATGAAATATTCATGGGAAAAAGACTCTGCTCTCCCTCACCTGTTCTCACCTGCGCTCTCTGACGTCACAGCNATGGATGGATGGATGGAACCATGGATGGATGGATGGATCAATGAGGAATGCACAGAGATCATTCCTCTCCAGGTTGTCCTTGGCTCTGCCCATAATTCCCAATTGTTCCATCCATTGCTGTACACTTGCACTTTACAGATGGAAAACAATGATTAAAGTAATTTCTCAACAATTGAAACAGTTGTTCCTATTACTGTAGGGCTGGAATTCAGCCACGACCCCTCATCAGGATTCTCACTACAAAATAAAACACTCATGGCCACAAAGTTTGCCATTGTGGCTCGTGGGATGCCGTTGCTTCCCTCACCACCAACACGCATAATTCTTCCATCAGGAATTAGTTACAGGAGTTCCTTCACCAGGATCTCTTTGTCAGTTTGAAAATTGGGGGAAAACTCCACATGGATCTTAAGGAGGGACTACAAAGATTACAGAGGACAAAAGTCTGCTATGCCCCCTTAAAATATGAAGCTTTAGCAAGGCCACCTGACTTGTCCAGATGAAATCTATTCTGAATATCTGCATTTTTCCCACTGTAATCTTTTACAACCTCCACCAGGCAAAGCCAGCCCAAAGGAGGTTGTACAAATCACCCTTTTCCTTATGTTAGTCCTTCTTTTGATGCAATATTTTCCTTTAAAGGAAAAACTATTTGGGCCAGGGCGCAATCATAAGGCCTTGAGGGACAAGCCCATTTTATATTACAGCCAAACTGAGTTTGCCAAGCAGAACATGCAGTGGCACGTGGTGGCATTTTTTTAATGCTCATTCACAGACTGTCTGATGAACCCACTCTGTGGGCAAACAGATTTGCCTCTCTAAATTAATTGCTGCCATTTAACACCCAAGGTGTTCATAAAACACTGAATTTCCCAGGTTAAGCTGCTGAGGAGGGGCTGCTCCAGAGCCACTCAGTGCAGAGGCACAGCTGGAATGGCTCAGGAGCTTTGTCACAGCCCAGCTGTACAGAAATTAAACCCATTAGGCTTCAGCGCACTCAGCTCTCAATGCGCTGCTCATTTGTGAGAAGAGCTATGCTAAAATCAATCCAGCTGAATGAGGCTGGAGCTGGAGAGCATCCTGCATCCTTGGCTCTTTGGAAATGCAGCTTCCCATTATCTTTACAAATGTGATGAGGAGAGGAGAGAGAGGACATTGGTATTATAAAGTACAGTTCCAGTCTGGGAAATGTCAAAATAGCAACTTTCAATTCAGCAGCTGAGCTCTGTGCTCTCAGTTTGTGTGCTTGACTTTCACCTCAGACAAACGAGCAGAAAATTGCCCAGCCCAGGAGATAATCCCAGCAGTTATGGGATGGAATTGTGGGTGTGCTCACATGCAGTGTGCTCATCCCACACACACTGAGCAGCTCATCCCCAGGGAACGCGCAGGATTCTGGCTGGATTCACCCCACAGGGGTTGCTCACCTTCTCCCAGCTCCTCCCTGGCTCCACAGCCCAGAGGGCAGGAATGGAGCCCACAGACAGCTCTGCACCTGGGGAGCAGAGAGAAACACTCAGAATGGGGACACACACACACCCTGGGTCCAGGAAATGTTTGCACCCGCTGTGGGTTTTGGGGACTGCAAGGTTGCAGTTCCACCATCAGATTTAACAACCCCAGGACAACAGGTTTGTCTGCCTGGG